TTATGAAATTACTTGACCAAGCCCACCTTGTGTTTAACACATACAGATAAATCAACTGAAAATATTTCCAGACAGAAAAGGCTCCATAGTCTTGCACCTATCCAGTTCGTCCAAATCATCCAACATCAAGCTGGAGAAGCTACCAACATGTATCCACATAAAGGAAAATGTTAAGTGCGTGCCTTGCAGGAAAAACACTTCAGCAGGTAAAGAATTTCATTGTTACACAGTGTAACAAAACTGCTGCTAGGAACTGTTCTGATGCATTTCTTCATAGTTCCCACAAGGAAGCTGATACTAAAATGATCTTGTGTGCCATCAGTGCCACAAAAAGAGTTGCTGCTAAACTCCGGATTTTTGCACAAACATATATGTTCTCTCTGAGATTATGCCCAAGTCTGCCACAAGATTCTGGTTTTTCTGCCTGCTGCTAAGGAACAGAATCTTTCTGAGATTTTCCTCTTACTTGGACCATTAACGCTGCCAGGTTTCCACACAGTTTCAGGATGTGACAGTATTTGAAGGTTGGCTGGAAACACCACATTACATTATCTTACTGGAAGGCATTTAATTGAGTCTCTGAAGCACTCTGTCAGTTGAGACCGTCATTGATGAGTCAAACACATGAGATGTTCATTTCCTAAATTCAGCATTTGAAGACCAACATCACGATGCTTGCAGAAGTACACTGATGGATGTTTTCCAAGAAGCAGACAAACAGAGAAACTGCAACCAACAATGAATGCATTTATATCTGCTATCAAGAGGGAAAATTGTCAAGCAGTGGAATGGCTCTAGGATGTGCTGTTGCCTAAAAAGTTGAGCCCTCTGGGGGAAGGGATAGCTCAGTAGTTTGAGCACTGGCCTGCTAAACCCAGGGTTGTGAATTCAATCTGGGGGGGGCGGCGCATTTAGGGATCTGGGACAAATCTGTCAGGGATGGAATTTGGTCCTGCTGTGAGGGCAGGGGACTGAACTCCATGACCTCTCAAGGACCCTTCCAGTTCTACAAGATAGGTTTATCTCCATATATTATATCTGCAATTATATTTTCCTATTGGGACTAAATAAGCTTTAGAGAATGGACTGATTGTAACAGTGTGTGAAATACTATGCACAGTTGGTCAGTCCCTCAAATACTTGCTTGAAAAGGCCAGATGCTCATCACCCTAAAAATGTTTGGCCAGCAGCCTGTTTTGTACAGAGATGTGGAAGTGTATTGCAGTCAAGTATCAGCATGGCTGTGTCTAGACTGGCAAGTTTTGAAAAACTTGCCAGCTGTCTACACTGGCCGCTTGAATTTCCGCAAAAGCACTGACGATCTCATGTAAGATTGTCAGTGCTTTTGCAGAAATACCATGCTGCTCCCTTTCGGGCAAAAGTCTTTTTCCGAAAAACTTTTGTGCAAAAGGGCCAGTGTAGATAGAGATTTATTTTCCGCAAAAAAGCCCCGATCGCGAAAATGGCAATCGGGGCTTTTTTGCAGAAAAGCGCGTCGAGATTGGCCATGGACGCTTTTGCGGAAAAGCGTCCTACCAATCTAGACGCGCGTTTCCGAAAATGCTTTATATGGAAAACTTTTCCGTTAAAAGCATTTCCAGAAAATCATGTCAGTGTAGACATAGCCCGTATGTATTAGATAAGATGCCCAGCGGTGATTCTCATGAGGGAGACTGCACTGATGATGACTTAGATGTTTTTGGTCCTGTATGTCAAGGCTAACTTCCTTAGAATTATCACAGATTAATGTCTTGTTTTAGATAAGCACTGGTGCCCCCTATGATAAACCTGCAGCCCTAGTGATAAGTCATAATTCTTGTTACAACCCTGCATTTAAGTGGCTTTCTTGAATTAACAATGGAAGTGTGGCAATTTTGGTCTGGAAAGTTTCAGACTAGAACAGCAATTTAGCTAAATAAAAAGGCATATGCTATATTTCAACAATGCAGTTTCCTGTTTCAGCACAAGGTGGTTTTAGAAGGCAACTATGGCCCCAATCCTACATGAACATCACATGGGTAGGGTCCTAACAAATTCACAGTCCATTTTGCTCAATTTCATTGCTATGGGCATTTTAAAATCATAAGTTTCATAATTTTAGCTATTTAAATCTGAAATTTCATGGTATTGTAATTGTTAGAGTTGTGATCCAAAAAAGGAGTTGTGTGGGAGAGGGGAGTGCCCCAGCAAGGTTATTGTAGGGGAAGTGACAGTACTGCTACCCTTACCTGTGGCTGAACTGTGACTGCTGGGATCCAAGATCTGAAGGCAGAGCCACCACCAGCAGCACTGCAGAAGCAGGGATGGCATGGCCACCCATATTTCTGTGCTGTTGCCTAAAAAGTTGAGCCCTCAGTCAGCAGCTACCACACTCTGGCCACCTGCTCTGAAGGCAGCAGCACTGAAGTAAGGGTGGTAAAATATGGTATTGCCACCCTTACTTTTGCACTGCGGCTGGTAGGGTGCTATCTTTAGAGCTGGATGCCTGGCCAACAGCTGTTGGTCTCTAGCTGCTGCCCAGCTCTGAAGACAGCACAAAAGTAAGAAATCTATTAGAGTTCTTACTAATCTTAATCTTAACTAAGATTAATTTTACTAATCTATTAGAGTTCTTTGAAGGAGTTAACAAAACATGCGGACAAGGGGGATCCAGTAGATATAGTATACTTGGATTTTCAGATAGCCTTTGACAAGATCCCTCACCAAAGGCTCTTGGGTAAATTATATGGCCATGGGATAAGAGGGAAGGTCCTTTCTTGGATTGAGAACTGGTTAAAAGACAGGAAACAAAGGGTAGGAATAAATGGTAAATTTTCAGATTGGAGAGGGGTAACTAGTGGTGTACCCCAAGGGTCAGTCCTGGGACCAATCCTTTTCAACTTATTCATAAATGATCTGGAGAAAGGGGTAAGCAGTGACGTAGTAAAGTTTGCAGATGATACCAAACTGTTTAGGATAGTCAAGACAGAAGCAGACTGTGAGGGACTCCAAGAAGATCTCACCAAACGGAGTGATTGGGCAACAAAATGGCAAATGAAATTTAATGTGGATAAATGCAAAGTAATGCACATCGGGAAAAATAACCACAACTATACCTGGAGAAAGGGGTAAGCAGTGACGTAGTAAAGTTTGCAGATGATACCAAACTGTTTAGGATAGTCAAGACAGAAGCAGACTGTGAGGGACTCCAAGAAGATCTCACCAAACGGAGTGATTGGGCAACAAAATGGCAAATGAAATTTAATGTGGATAAATGCAAAGTAATGCACATCGGGAAAAATAACCACAACTATACGTACAGTATGATGGGGGCTAATTTGGCTACGGCAAATCAGGAAAGAGATCTTCGAGTTATCGTGGACAGTTCCCTGAAAACTTCCACACAGAGTGCAGCGGTGGTCAAAAAGGCAAATAGGATGCTAGGAATTATTAGGAAAGGGATAGAAAATAAGACACAGAATATCTTACTGCCCCTGTATAAAACTATGGTACGCCCACATCTTGAATACTGTGTACAGATGTGGTCTCCTCACCTCAAAAAAGATATTTTGGCCTTAGAAAGGGTTCAAAAAAGGGCAACTAAAATGATTAGGGGTTTGGAACAGGTCCCATATGAGGAGAGGCTAAAGAGACTGGGACTTTTCAGTTTAGAAAAGAGGAGACTGAGGGGGGATATGATAGAGGTCTATAAAATCATGAGTGGTGTGGAGAGGGCTGATAAAGAAAAGTTATTTATTAGTTCCCATAATAGAAGAACTAGAGGACACCAAATGAAATTAATGGGTAGCAGGTTTAAAACTAATAAAAGAAAGTTCTTCTTCACACAGCGTGTAGTCAACCTGTGGAACTCCTTGCCAGAGGAGGCTGTGAAGGCTAGGACTATAATAGAGTTTAAAGAGAAGCTAGATAAATTCATGGAGGTTAGGTCCATAAAAGGCTATTAGCCAGGGGATAAAATGGTGTCCTTGGCCTCTGTTTGTCAGAGGCTGGAAAGGGATGGCAGGAGACAAATCGCTTGATCATTGTCTTCGGTCCACCCTCTCTGGGGCCCCTGGTGCTGGCCACTGTCGGTAGACAGGATACTGGGCTAGATGGACCTTTGGTCTGACCCAGTACGGCTGTTCTTATGTTATGTTAAGAACAGCAAGATTGCTGCATCCTTAAAATGACCTTGTAGCCCTGACAGACGATTCCCTTTTGAGTCAGGGCCCCAACGTGAGATGTGGGGGGGGGGGGGGGGAGCACACACAAAACCAGATTTCACTGTCAATGATGTATTTCATGGCCATTAAATTGGTGGCACCATGCAGATGGGTTTACTTCCACCATCCCCTATAGACTCCATTCTTACTGGGAGGTCTCTGTATAAAGCTCATTGTAGGATTGGGGCACACTTCAATATTTGAGACATAACTTTGGAACACACCTTCAGCATTTATACTCAACTCTGTTGAGTTTACTTCTGTTGTTGCATATGGATTATTCCCAACCATTGGCATCAGGCAATCAGTGTAGAAGTAACCAACTTTAGGCATGTCAAAGGTAGAAATAAGTAGATCTACTGCAAGCTGGCCAACATTCCCAACGGATACAGCTGGCTGGAACAACAGAAGACTTGTGACCATATTGTTATTACAGTTTTTATACATTCAACTGTGATTTGAATAATGAACTATGTATAATATTCAAATTAATAAATGAAAACTCCACAAAATATCTGTAGGTATATGCTCAAATCACAATCCTCTTACCCAATATTTTAAAAGTGGGGTCAGAAAACCTAAAACTTCCCTTTATGGAAGGTACTGGCTTTTTAACAGATTGTTCCTGTACTAACAGACCAGCACTGAATAATAAGATGTGCACTATTGAAAAAAAAAATCAACATACAGCCTCTACTACCCATAAAGATTAGGCTTAAGATAGCAAACTATGAACATTTAGTTGTGTAATGGGAAAACAATAGTTTTTGTTAGATTAGTTGAAAACTTAATCAAGGAGACTGCACCAAACTCAGCTACCATAGAATCATAGAATAATAGGACTGGAAGGGACCTCAAGAGGTCATCGAGTCCAGCCCCCCGCCCTCAAGGCAGGATCAAGCTCCGTCTACACCATCCCTGACAGATGTCTATCTAACCTGTTCTTAAATATCTCCAGAGAGGGAGATTCCACCACCTCCCTTGGCAATTTATTCCAATATTTGACCACCCTGACAGTTAGGAATGTTTTCCTAATGTCCAATCTAAACCTCCCCTGCTGCACTTTAAGCCCATTACTCCATGTCCTGTCCTCAGAAACCAAGAGGAACAAATTTTCGCCTTCCTCCTTGTGACACCCTTTTAGATATTTGAAAACCACTATCATGTCCCCCCTTAATCTTCTTTTTTCCAAACTAAACAAGCCCAGTTCATGAAGCCTGGCTTCATAGGTCATGCTCTCTAGACCTTTAATCATTCTTGTCACTCTTCTCTGTACCCTTTCCAATTTCTCCACATCTTTCTTGAAATGTGGCGCCCAGAACTGGACACAGTACTCCAGCTGAGGCCTAACTAGTGCAGAATAGAGCGGCAGAATGACTTCACTCTTTCTTGAAATGTGGCGTCCAGAACTGGACACAGTACTCCAGCTGAGGCCTAACTAGTGCAGAGTAGAGCGGCAGAATGACTTCACGAGTTTTGCTTACAACACACCTGTTGATACAACCTAGAATCATATTTGCTTTTTTTGCAACAGCATCACACTGTTGACTCATATTCAACTTGTGGTCCACTATGACCCCTAGATCCCTTTCCGCTATGCTCCTTCTTAGATAGTCGCTTCCCATCTTGTATGTATGGAACTGGTTGTTCCTTCCTAAGTGGAGCACTTTGCATTTCTCTTTATTAAACCTCATCCTGTTTACCTCTGACCATTTCTCTAACTTGCTAAGGTCATTTTGAATTATGTCCCTCTCCTCCAAAGAAGTTGCAACCCCACCCAGTTTGGTATCATCTGCAAACTTAATAAGCGTACTCTCTATCCCAATATCTACATCATTGATGAAGATATTGAATAGTACGGGTCCCAAAACAGACCCTTGAGGAACTCCACTTGTTATCCCTTTCCAGCAGGATTTAGAACCGTTAACAACAACTCTCTGACTACGGTTATCCAGCCAATTATGCACCCACCTTATCGTGGCCCTACCACTGTCTTTGAACTGGGTGCGCTCAAGGATGGGCATTTGAACTAGGGATGTCAACTAGCAATTAATTTACTAGTCAAGTAGTCGATGAATTCTCCATTGACTACTCAACTTGGCACTTCAGCATTCCGCCTTTGAAAAAGTTGGACCACCGCATGGAGCCCAGGGCCAGCGGGAAGTTTCACTGACTCTGGGCTCCAAGCAGGCACTTCCCGCTGGGGACTCTTGTACATTTCAAAGTTGGTGGAGCCCAGGGTCAACTTCCCAAGTGATGCTGGGCTCAGTATGGTGCTGCCGCTTTGTGATACCACCACAGCCTTTCAAAGTGACAGTGCCACAGGGTCCATGCGGCTCCACTGCTTCAAACTACCCCTCTCTTCTCCCCCTGTTGTTTCCTCTATCTGATAGAGGTAGCAAGGGGGTGGGGGGGAGCAACTAGTTGGATTTGCTTATCGGATAGTCGACTAGTCGTTCACATCCCAAGTTTGAATGTGCTGCCTCTACCACCAGCTTCCCAACATCCACACAGCGCTTGCCGTTACTCGCATCCCCTCTT